ACTTTGTGGTATTTTCTGCTTCAAATGTATAGTTTATGAAGAGTCTGGGTTTAGAAACATAGCTTAATGTAAACACAACTCTTGATGTCTTGGGCTATCAGAAAGGTAAAACTTAGAGTTACGTTCAAGTTACATTCAACCTTTTAGTTGGAAACAGGTGCCTAAACCAAGGAAGAAATGCCTCATCTTTTCATTAACCATTCTTTTTTCATATAATGAATACCTTTATGCAAACAGATTACTAAAATCCCTTTACGTCTAACCACAACACTATAATTTTCTCCATAGTAGTGTCTCAGTTTCTTTCTTCTAAAATACATTTCAGACCACATGAATTGAAAAGTTACAACTGAAATGATAGCAAACAACCTAAATGTCTACATGTCAGACTGGTTACACGTGTTCTTGTACATTACACAGAAATAATACAGAATGGAGAAGGACGCTCTCTGTGTACTGATATGAAAAGATATCCAAGGCGAGTTAAGTGAAAAAAATCAAGGTATAGAATAGTATATACAGTGTGCTACATTTTGTGATAAAAATGAAAAATAAGAAGACATATGTTAGCCATTAAAAAGAATGAAATCTTGCCATTTGCAACTGCATGGATGGATATGGAGGGTATAAGGCTAAGTGAAATAAGTCAGTCAGAGAAAGACAAATATCACATGATTTCACTCATATGTGGATTTTAAGAAACAAAACAAAGAAAAAAAGAGACAAAAAAGCAGAATTAACTATAGAAAACAAACATGGTTACCAGAGGGGAGGTGGTGGGGGAAAGGCAGGGATGGGTGAAAGAGATGAAAAGAATTAAGAGTGCACTTTGGTGATGAGCACTGAGTAACGTGTAGAACTGCTAAATCACTATATTGTATACCTGAAACTAATATAACGCTAATTATACTGGAATTTTTTTAAATGTACATATATCTTTACTTGCTTATATGTGCATAAAGAAACTCTAGAAGGATATGGAAGAAACAAATACCAGAAGGTATCCAGAAAAAATTAAAGAGATAAGATCAAGGGTGGGAAAGAGAGTTTTCACTGTAAACCTTACATACTTTTTAAATTTCTGAACCATGTTAGGGACGCCTGGGTGGCTCAGATGGTTAAACGTCTGCCTTCGGCTCAGGTCAGGATCCCAGGGTCCTGGGATCAAGCCCTGCATCGGGCTCCCTGATCCTTGGAAGCCTGCTTCTCTCTCTCTCTCTCTCTCTCTGTGTGTCTCACGAATAAATAAATAAAATCTTTAAAAAAAAAAAATTTCTGAACCATGTTAATATATTTATATTTTCAAATATTTAAATAAAAACAATTTAGAAAAATAGGCTACAACTATAATAATTATTGCTTAATTCTATGTTAAGTAATAGTAATTTTCTTCCTATCTTTTCTTCCATTCTGATCTTAATTAGTCAAAAATTCTAGTTCTCAGGAAACAAATTAATTACCTAGCACATATAAGCTAAACATATAATTATGATTAAAAGAATTTATTCTTTCCTCCTCCTCCAATATCTTCACCTAAATTGACAATTAGGGATAGCAAGGGTCATCTAGCTAGTGAAAGAGAAATACATCTTCCTTGACTTCTGAATGGATAATATCACCAGCATAAAATTTAATATATATTTTCCACTTAAAATTTTTAAATAGCTACACTGTCCAGCGGGCCTACTGACTGACATTACAATTTTACAAATATTACAGCATTATAATTTCCAGCTGTGAGTGTTATTTTTCAAAATAACAACCAAAAAAATTGCAAACAGATTTCCAATTTAGCAAACAAATTGAATGGGCCCTCACTGTCCTGGGTAAAGTGCCGCAGTAATCCTGTGCAGACACGACCCCTCTCTTACCACGGACACTGTACTCCTCCCACAGAGAATTTCTGAGGTCAACTTAGAAATCTCACACCTCTAGGGTTTTCCATAGTGCATACCATAGTGCATAGTGCATCCATTCTCCAAACTCTTATCTAGCTTTAAAAGCTCAGCTTAGGGGCACCTGAGTGGCTCAGTAGGTTAAGCGTCTGCCTTCAGCTCAGGTCATGATCTCAGGGTCCTGGGATGGAGCCCCGCATCGGGCTCCCTGCTCAGCCAGGTGTCTGCTTCTCCCTCTCCCCCTGCCCCTACTCGTGCTCTCTCTTGCCCACTCTCTCAAATAAATAAATAAAATCTTTAAAATAAAAAATAATAAATAAATAAAAGCTCAGCTTAAATGAGTCTGATACTTTCCCAAATCTCTGTCAGAATTAATCTTATCCTCATTTGAGAAACAAGACAGAGGATCATAGGGGAAGGGAGGGAAAAATGAAACAGACAAAACCAGAGAGGGAGACAAACCCTAAGAGACTCCTAATCTCAGGAAACAAACTGAGGGTTGCTGGAGTGGAGCGGGGTGGGAGGGATGGGGTGGCTGGGGGAAGGGACACTGGGGAGGGTATGTGCTATGGTGAGCGCTGTGAATTGTATAAGACTGATGAATCACAGAGCTGTACCCCTGAAACAAATAATATATTATATGTTAATAAAAAAAGACTTAATCTTATCCTCTATTTTTATACAACCTAACTATTTTACAGTCAATTAATGTGCCTAGAGATCTGCTTGCCACAACCAGAAGGTGTGATCATTAGAAAAAATACTTTCTATTCATATTTATATCCATGTGGAAAATCCTTAGTTCTTATTAATAATAGTAATCGTACTAACAACATGGAGAAAAACAAAAGCCAGCTACTGTGCCAGACATAATGATAAATGCATTACTTCACTTAATTCCCAGGACAGCCTGAAGCCATTTTACAGAAAAGGAAACAGAGGCTCAGAGAGTAGAAGTAACTTGCTCAAGTTGCTTATCCTTTCTACAGGTAGTAAAAAGCAGAATGAGCCTTCAAACCCAATGTCTCTGCCTCCAAGGCATATATTCTTAACCACTAGGCTTAGAACTTAGTAGAGTGATTAATATTTTCATTATTACTGCAATGGACTGAGTGTTGGTATCCCCCCAAAATGCACATGTTGAAATCTTAACCCCCAAGGTGATGATATTAGAGGAGATGGGACCTTTGGGAGGTGATTAGGTCATGAGGGTGAGGCCCTCAAGATGGGATTAGTGCCCTTATAAGGCACCCCATGAGGTGCCTGGGTGGCTCAGTGGGTTAAGCGTCTGCCTTCGGCTCAGGTCATGATCCTGGGGTCCTGGGATCGAGCCCCACGTCAAGCTCCCTGCTCAGCGGGCAGTCTGCTGCTCCCTCTCCCTTTCCCTCTGCCCCTCATCCCACTTTTTCTCTCTCTCTCAAATAAATGAATAAAATCTTAAAAAAAAAAAAGGTACCCCAGTGATCTTTCTCTCCTCCATTCTATCATGTGAGGATACAAGTTAGCAGTCTGCATTCCTGAAGAGGGCCCTCACCAGAACATGACCACCCTGATCCAGCCTCTAGAACTGAGAAATAAATTTCTGTTGTTTATAAGCCACCCATAGTAGTCTATGCTACTTTGTTACAGTAGCCCACACTGACTAAAATAATTACCCTTTTCTAAAAATTAGAATTGTATTTTACAAAGGCTTTCAAATTATAGAAGCCATTAGGAGTGGAAGGAAAAAACAAGCTTTGTCTCCATGTTCAAATGCTTCTATACATAATCTGTCACTTTTTATCTGCCCTTCAGTAGCTAATTAGTTCATTCCCTAGATCACTGGAGGATATTTTCCTCTCACTACTTTCCTCTGACTTCCTGAGACTATCAAACAGATCAAGCAGATCAAGCACATTAGGCAGTATCTCCCCCATTCCTCCTCCCAACCTTGACACCCACCCTGTGCCTAATTAACGCTCCCTCCTATGGCCTGAGAAACAGAAATGGGAACCCCTTGGATCTGAAGGGATTTAGTCTTGATTTATTCATTCAAATATTTGCTAAAATCACTTTTAAGTGTCAGGCACCAAGACCTGCCCTCTGTGAGTTTACAGGAGAGTAAGGAAGGCAGACAAAGAGGCCTCCTCAATCTTTGCTCTTCCTTTCTTTCATTATTGTCGGTAATTATGAGATTAGCAGCAATAAGAAATACATATGCTGGGGCGCCTGGGTGGCTCAGTCCATTAAGCACCTGCCTTCGGCTCAGGTCATGGTCTCAGGGTCCTGGGATCGAGCCCCATGTCAGCCTCCCTGCTCTGCGGGAAGCTTCCTTCTCCCTCTCCCTCTGCCCCTCCCCCCTGCTTATGCCCTCTTGCTCACTCTCTCAAATAAACAAAATCTTAAAAAAAAAAAAAGAATTACAGATGTTTGTAGATTTGGACACACAAATAAACAAAAAGCAAAAATAAAACTGTTAGAATCATTCATAATTCTATCAGAAAGGACTATTACAGGAGTTTGGCTATATGTTCCCTTCCATTTTTTAAACAAGCTCAAGTTTACCTGAAATTTTTAAAAAACCTTCTTCAGCTGATACTTAAAAAGTATTTTCCAACACTATAATGAGAAACAGCCTTCCTCAAGATATAAGCTAGATTCATGTGCTCAACAGGTCATTTCGGGTCCCCATTGAACATGTGTCTCTGGGAGGGTACCTTGAGGGTCTTATTCTCTATCCCCAGCCCCGACATTCAGTCAGAGCTCACTCATGCTCATGAAATGAAAGACTGAATGGATGAATCAATGATGTAGAGTACTGAAATCTAACAAATCAAATCTTGACATGGTTATTAGCTCATAAATCAGGCACTCTTTGTGCTGAAAGGTCAAGATACAGAAAGAATTCAAGGAGAAAATTAATTCCTAAAAGGAAAAAGCTATTTTATTCTTACTAGATAGGGGGAAAAGAACTCTGCAAAAATAAAATAATAAAAGCTACCATCTCATTTAATTCTGTATAACATCATGGTCACAGTCTTAAGACAACTAAAAACACAGCAATCCAACTCTACGGCAGCAGCTGTCTAGCCAAGTGCTATTAGCCCAATCTCACAAGAGTTATACCTGAACGGAAGATAGGGGGGGTTTGAGCCAGATAGGAGTGCTCTGTAGGCTTCTTCCGGTGTCTTCTTTAAATAGATTACCTAAGACAGATAAATAGCAACATTTAGAACACCACCAAAGAATGACACAAAACTAATTTAATTACTCACCAAATTTGCATTTCCCTTTTTCCACTTTGACAACTGTCAGTCATGGTGATAATGCTAACCTTTAAAAGACAGCAACCAAGCTGCCAAAATTTCCTTTTCAGCTTGAAGCTAAACTGCAGCCTTTGGCTTAGAAATGGGTAAGAGCTTAGAGACAGAGGGCAGATCCATAAAGAGGCCATCCAGGGCTGTTTACAAGGCACACTGAACAGATACAATGGCAGAGTTTCCCTTTTGGGAGCAGAACAATTCTACTTCCATTATTGTACTGTGCATTCACAGTACAATAAAATACAGTAAAATAAATCACAACAAAACTGAAAATGAATGCAGGTAAGAGCACTAGAGGGGCACCTGAGTGGCTCAGTCGGTCAAGCGCCCGACTCTTGGTTTCGGCTGGGGTCGTGGTCTAGGGTTGTGGGATCAAGCCCCACATGGAGCTCCATGCTCAGTGCAGAGTCTTCTTGGGTTTCTTCTCTCTCTCTCTCTCAAATAAATAAATAAAAATATTCAAAAATAATTTTTTTTAAAAAGAGCACTAGAAAACACACTGGCTTGACTGTTGACATCGAGGATACTTAAATAAATCCCTCTGGCCCAGCATGATAAACTAATCTTAAAGAAACAAAAAGGAGCTCTTAAAACCAGTAAACAACTTAATCAGCGTACTGACTATATAATATGTGCCAGGTACTGGTACCTCTCTTAATAGAATTTACATTATGGGGCAAAGACAATAGTTAACAAAATAAATACAGTCTGAGATAGGTGCTAAAAAGGAAATAAACAGGGTTCTGGAAAGAGAATAGAAAGGGGCTACTTGAGGGAAGGCACAGGGAGGGCTCCCTGGTAGACATGTAGGGTAAGATCTGCAGGGGACAGTCCACGGAAAAGCAAGGAAGAGGGAAAGCAAGGAAGAGGAGGAAGGGCTTGCCAGGCAGCAGGAATAACGAGGGCACCATCCTTGCTGAGGGAAAGAGCTTGGTGATTGGACAGAGATATCCTCGGTGTGGCTAGAACACGGGAAGGAGAACCAAGTGGCCGCCAAATAGTGCAGAGCAATACAAACCATAGGCAGACTCCAATTTTATTCTAAGTATAATTTAATATCTTAACTTTGAGCTGAGGACATTGGTCATTTTCCTCTACAGTTTGAATCAAATTTTATTCCCAAAGATCCTCTTTACCTAGAATTAATGGCATTATTTCAAAACCCTGTGCATTTCAGCAAGAGTGGCAGGGTCTCAGTTCTTAAAAAGCAGGACCTTCCTCTTTACTTACAAATTTCCTTTGAGTTTTAAGCTATCCCACTAGCAATATATTACATGCATTTTTAATTATTAACATTTTCAGAACTAGAAAACACCTTAATTCTGTCTTCTCTAAAGAAAGGAAACTAAAATAAATACATAAAAGAGACTTCCAGCGTTTAAAAGAAAGCTCTATATTCATTTGACAAATAAGTCTGACAGTCTGATAGGGCACACACCAACCAAAGCCAATCGAACGTGAAACCAAAACAGCCCAGAAAATGAAACCACCGTAAAAGAATGATCTAGACGTGAGTCACTGATTCTACAAAGGGAGAATCACAGCTCTAGTTGCAGCTCAAATAATTAGAAAAATCCACTTAAACCAAACCTAGCTTTAAAACCCCTTTTGAGTAACCAATATGAAAACAGGATTTTGCTGGGCCTTAATGGGTAGGTTATACCCTATAAAGAGAGTCGGTTATAATGCAGTGATTTCTCAAGCCTAAAGATGCAGCACTACTGGAAAGTTGACTACCTCTGCTAAAAGGGAAAGCTGCTATAAAAGGCTTCTGTGTTTGGATGGCGTAATTAAAGCTCAGACAACGACCTTTGAAAAGCAAAACTACATTTCCCTCCTCAGGAGCAATTACATTAATTCCCTTTAATTTCGAGGCAGCCATTCTGCAGGAGAGGCAGCAGTCCACATGAAATCCTTCTTTAGACTGGATACCCCACAGGGTTTAGCTACTCATCTTACCTGCATGACTTAGCACACATGACCCATGTTCTCACACTGTAAGATGAGAGTCTGTTTTTATTTTTATCCCAGTGCTAAATTATTAGTAAGTGCAAAGTGAAACCCAGCAGAGGCCATATAAATTCCAGGAAGGGTCCAGGGGCAGGTAAATACAATGCCCTTTTACAACCTGATGATAGGTGAAATGTAATAAATAAGTGCATTACTGTATGTACACATGCTAGGGTCATTAAAATATCAAATTTAGGGGCGCCTGGGTGGCTCAGTCGTTAAGCGTCTGCCTTCGGCTCAGGTCATGATCCCAGGGTCCTGGGATCGCGCCCCACGTTGGGCTCCCGGCTCAGCAGGAAGCCTGCTTCTCCCTCTCCCTTCTCCCCTCCCCCTGCTCATTCTCTCTGGCTCACAGGCGCATGTGCTCTCTCTCTCTGAAATGAATAAATAAAAAAAATTTTTTTAATAAAACTAAAACCAAATTTAATATCAAAAATTGGTTGCCAGATATTCTAATATCTCTAAAAATATTTTCTGAATAAAATTAATTTCAAAGCATCTTCTAAATATTTTGATTTTCCTTTTCTGCTTCCCAGGGGAAGAAATAATATGCTGTCTACTTTCCTCACTAGATATTAGCATAGATAAACCCAAACTGAAAGAATCTTCCCAAACTTTTGATAGGTTAAATTTAACAAAAGCCTTCTGCATAGTGCTTGGTGTATGCATCATGCTAAGTTACGCCTGGAGGAGCATTACCTTTTATCAGAGTGCACTACTCTTGCCAGGAAGTCCTCGAAACTTCTCAATAGAACAGCACTGGACATAATGCGGGGTTTGTTTTTTTTTTAGATTTTATTTATTTGACAGAGAGAGACAGCGAGAGAGGGAACACAAGCAGGCGGAGTGGGAGAGGGAGAAGCAGGCTTCCCGCGGAGCAGGGAGCCTGATGTGGGGCTCGATCCCAGGACCCTGGGATCATGACCTGAGCCGAAGGCAGATGCTTAACCGACTGAGCCACCCAG